ATTTTCAATTTTGGACTAGGGGCGACCTTAGTCAAAATCAATTTTGTCACCTTTTTCTTCGAGGGTTTATCCAAATGGATTGAAACTTTGCATAAATATTCTAGTGCTTAAAACAAATGCAAATAAAACATCCTAAATTTTTTTTGAGCAAAGAACCAAGAAAGAAATACATTTTCAATTTTGGACTAGGGGCGACCCTAGTCAAAATCAATTTTGTCACTTTTTTCTTCGAGGATTTATCCAAATGGATTGAAACTTTGCATAAATATTCTAGTGCTTAAAACAAATACAAATAAAACATCTTAAAATGTTTTTGAGCAAAGAACCAAGAAGGAAATACAATTTTAATTTTGGACTAGGGGCGACCCTAGTCAAAATCAATTTTGTCACCTTTTTCTTCGAGGGTTTATCCAAATGGATTGAAACTTTGCATAAATATTCTAGTGCTTAAAACAAAAACAAATAAAACATCCCAAAATTTTTGTTGAGCAAAGAACCAAGTAAGAAATACATTTTCAATTTTGGACTAGGGGCGACCCTAGTCAAAATCAATTTTGTCACTTTTTTCTTCGAGGGTTTATCCAAATGGATTGAAACTTTGCATAAATATTCTAGTGCTTAAAACAAATACAAATAAAACATCTTAAAAATTTTTTGAGCAAAGAACCAAGTAGGAAATACAATTTTAATTTTGGACTAGGGGCGACCCTAGTCAAAATCAATTTTGTCACTTTTTTCTTCGAGGGTTTATCCAAATGGATTGAAACCTTGCATAAATATTCTAGTGCTTAAAACAAATACAAATAAAACATCTTAAAAATTTTTTGAGCAAAGAACCAAGTAGGAAATACAATTTTAATTTTGGACTAGGGGCGACCCTAGTCAAAATCAATTTTGTCACCTTTTTCTTCGAGGGTTTATCCAAATGGATTGAAACTTTGCATAAATATTTTTGTGCTAAAAACAAATACAAATAAAACATCCAAAAATTTTTTTGAGCAAAGAACCAAGGAGAAATACATTTTCAATTTTAGACTAGGGGCGACCCTAGTCAAAATCAATTTTGTAACTTTTTTCTTCGAGGGTTTATCCAAATGGATTGAAACTTTGCATAAATATTCTAGTGCTTAAAACAAATGCAAATAAAATATCCAAAATTTTTTTTGAGCAAAGAACCAAGAAAGAAATACATTTTCAATTTTGGACTAGGGGCGACCCTAGTCAAAATCAATTTTGTCACTTTTTTCTTCGAGGGTTTATCCAAATGGATTGAAACTTTGCATAAATATTCTAGTGCTTAAAACAAATGCAAATAAAACATCCTAAATTTTTTTTGAGCAAAGAACCAAGAAAGAAATACATTTTCAATTTTGGACTAGGGGCGACCCTAGTCAAAATCAATTTTGTCACTTTTTTCTTCGAGGGTTTATCCAAATGGATTGAAACTTTGCATAAATATTCTAGTGCTTAAAACAAATACAAATAGAACATCCAAAAATTTTTTTGAGCGAAGAACCAAGTAGGAAATACATTTTCAATTTTGGACTAGAGGCGACCCTAGTCAAAATCAATTTTGTCACTTTTTTCTTCGAGGGTTTATCCAAATGGATTGAAACTTTGCATAAATATTCTAGTGCTTAAAACAAATGCAAATAAAATATCCAAAATTTTTTTTGAGCAAAGAACCAAGAAAGAAATACATTTTCAATTTTGGACTAGGGGCGACCCTAGTCAAAATCAATTTTGTCACTTTTTTCTTCGAGGGTTTATCCAAATGGATTGAAACTTTGCATAAATATTCTAGTGCTTAAAACAAATGCAAATAAAACATCCTAAATTTTTGTTGAGCAAAGAACCAAGTAGGAAATACATTTTCAATTTTGGACTAGGGGCGACCCTAGTCAAAATCAATTTTGTCACTTTTTTCTTCGAGGGTTTATCCAAATGAATTGAAACTTTGTATAAATATTCTAGTGCTTAAAACAAATGCAAATAAAACATCCTAAATTTTTTTTGAGCAAAGAACCAAGAAAGAAATACATTTTCAATTTTGGACTAGGGGCGACCCTAGTCAAAATCAATTTTGTCACTTTTTTCTTCGAGGGTTTATCCAAATGGATTGAAACTTTGCACAAATATTCTAGTGCTTAAAACAAATACAAATAAAACATCCTAAAATTTTTTTGAGCAAAGAACCAAGTAGGAAATACATTTTCAATTTTAGACTAGGGGCGACCCTAGTCAAAATCTAGTTTTTCACTTTTTTTTTCTTCGAGGATAAATCCAAATACATTAAAACTTTGTATGAGCATTCTAATCCTCAGGTCACACATTTCTGAATTAATAAAAATCATTTTTTTGGACAAAATTTTAAGTCACGTTGTTTTTGAATGTACAACCAAATTTATAAAATTTGGGTGTGACGGCATATAGAATACATTTCTTGCTTTAGATATTTAAAACTGTTTTGTATAAATATTAGTAAACTCACACAAAGTTTCACTGTAATTGGATAAACCTTCGAAGAAAAAAAGTGAAAAACTAGATTTTGACTAGACCTGTCCCAAGTCCAAAATTGAAATTATATTTCTTTTGGTTTATTGCTCAAAAACATTTAGGATGTTTCATTTGTATTTGTTTTAAGCATTAGAATATTTATGCAAAGTTTCAATCCATTTGGATAAACCCTCGAAGAAAAAAGTGACAAAATTGATTTTGACTAGGGTCGCCCCTTGTCCAAAATTGAAATTGTATTTCCTACTTGGTTCTTTGCTCAAAAAAATTTTAGGATGTTTTATTTGCATTTGTTCAAAGCACTAGAATACTTATGCAAAGTTTCAATCCATTTGGATAAACCCTCGAAGAAAAAAGTGACAAAATTGATTTTGACTAGGGTCGCCCCTAGTCCAAAATTGAAAATGTATTTCCTACTTGGTTCTTTGCTCAACAAAAATTTTGGGATGTTTTATTTGTATTTGTTTTTAACACTAGAATATTTATGCAAAGTTTCAATCCATTTGGATAAACCCTCGAAGAAAAAGGTGACAAAATTGATTTTGACTAGGGTCGCCCCTTGTCCAAAATTGAAATTGTATTTCCTACTTGGTTCTTTGCTCAAAAAAATTTAGGATGTTTTATTTGCATTTGTTTTATGCACTAGAATATTTATGCAAAGTTTCAATCCATTTGGATAAACCCTCGAAGAAAAAAGTGAGAAAATTGATTTTGACTAGGGTCGCCCCTAGTCCAAAATTGATAATTGATTTTCTATTGTGTACTTTGGTCAAAAAAATTTTTTGTATGTTTTATTTGAATTGACATATTTTTGACATAAATCACATACCAATATTACTTTTTGTAATGCATAGCTTAAAAAAAAACCGAAATCTAAAATTTCGACTACCCCATCTGATTTTTGTTCATACTCTTCACTGTGGAAACCAAAAAAAAGTGTTTTTGTAGTTTACATAATTATGACAAAAATTAGGTTTAACTTTTGAACTGTGTCGATATGGGTCTCGGCCGTAGCAGTTTGCATTTTTGTAGTCATATCTGTAGACTGTATTTTTAGTTCTGTCGATTTGTGATGTTTTAATTTTGAAGAAACTTTGTGCATTGAAGTTCTGTTGTTTCGAGGTTGGAATTTGAGAGCATCAAGTCAATTGCTGACACTGATTTGTTTCGATCTTCTGGGTAGTACGTTGGCGAGTCAGGAAAGTAGATCATGAACTCTCCTGACATTTTCTGAAGAATCCTTCCTGATTTGTTTGCCACGTTGCAGTTCCATTCTCGATGTTTTGCATTGAAGTCTCCACAGATGTAGTAATTTCCTCTCAGATTTGTTATTTTATTGGTGTCATCTCTCAGATGTTGATCTATTTCCCCTCCTTTGCTTCCTCTTGGGAGATAGACTGAGAGAATGTGACAACTATTAGTGTTTTTGATGGAGACTTTGATTCCAATGCATTCTTTTAGTTTTGTGTTGTAGCTTGGTTGAAGCTGATGTTTTAGATTTGAGTTTGGTTTTAGGAATGTTTCTTAGATGCAAGCAATATCGACGTTTTGCTTGCTTAGGTTGTCGAGGAATGCTAACATTTTGTCAGGGAAGACTTCATTCGCGGTCTGACTTGTTGGATTGATGTCTTCTGAATCCATAAACTCAACATCCCGCTTTGGTTTTTGATGTTGATTGTTGTTATTAATGCGCTCGTTTTGCTTTTTTCTTTGATTCTTTTTCCAATTTTTTCCGCTTTCTTCATTGTTTTGTTGGTTGTTCAAATTAATTTTATTTCCCTGATTTGAAGGTTTGTGAATTGGAGGAGTATTTGTGTTCCTTGGTTTTTGGTTGACTGGAGCTTGTTTTTGATGAACATGCTTTTGTGTACCAGATGTTGATGGTTCCACATTCTTCTTTATCCATTGAGGTTTTGGTACTGTTTTGTTTTGATTTCGGTTGTTTCCATTCTGTGATTTTGATTTCCACTTCTCTATTATTTCTTGTCTAGTTTTACAACCTGTGAAAATTGCTGTATGTTTTTCACCGCAGAAGAAACATTTGAGTTTCCCGACCTGTGAGCTTGTTGGTCTCTTTCGATATGTACTGGCACGATTTCGAGTCATGTTGCTCAGAGCATCTGAAGCAAACGGACGGTTTGTTGCAATCGTTTTGTTCAAGACCAAACTGCAGACATTTCTAACATTGAGATGGTCCAGCTTGTCTGTTTTTGTAGTCAGCAGTGCACGAGGTAGTTCTTTTTTCAAACCTAATCAACATCAATATACATATATACTTAGTCATTACAAAATTTATACCTCGAGTACTTATCGTGGTATTTGTTTCATAAAATCATCTTGATAGCTAATCTTGTAGGATTTAAACCAAAACAGTATAATTATTGTAAAAAATGACTCGAATAGTTGTAAAAGCCAGGCTTGGAGAGTGAAATGACAATCTGAAACAAAACAAAATTGAAAAGTAAAATCTAATATCTATATTATTTTTGAAAAATTCCTTTATTAACTTAGAGAATGGCTATGAATAGAATGGATTAGAAGATTTAAAATAATATTACATTATTACATGCATGCATTGTATGCATGCTTTTTCAGAAAACAGAAATTTAAGATTTAGGCACTAATTGAATATTGAATTTTAGTCGAAATCAATTGATTCTTCAAACAGATTTTGTAATGATAATTTTAGTTGATATATTAATGTTTTAAATTCTTTTGGCACAAGAAAGCCCCAATTAATTATTTTAAACAGTAAAGACTTCATTCAGAGGAGCATAGCTTTTTTTTTTTAAATTTCATTAAAATGTTATCTAACATTACCACACTTTATTTATCATTTTAACACAATTCAATAAAAATATTAGTATTTTTTTTTAACAAATCCATTTCCCCCATGACTCTAATTTATGTTAATGACAAAATTAACAGTGTAAACAATATTTACCAAATATAGGTTTATAAGATAAGATAACTTTTGAATATAAAGTTTTTTAAAAAAATTGCATTTAAACAAAAATAACATTTAATCCGACCACTCTCCGTCGTCTGAATTTTCATTCTCAGATTCTGAGGACGATGTTCCATTGATTGCTGTTTTTCGTTGTTCTAAAGCTCTTCTTAATGCATCCGCCAACGCGTCAGTTCCATTGCCATCACTTGATCGATTAGCTTGATTATTTGAGCGATCACTTACTGGTCGTAACTCTATTCCACCTCTAATTTCAGACAATAGATCGTTACGCGAATCTCCACCAGTATTTGAATTTGTCGATGAAGCATCGATCTTTTTAAGTTGTGCTCCTTTTCGAATACTATCCATCAAAGCACTTCGAGCATCAGGAATAATTGATACTGCAGTTGATTCTTTCATGGGAGGTGGAGGAGGTGGCTAAAATACATTTTATTATTTTTCAAATAATCGAACATTTTCATCTTAATTCTTACCATATTGATTTGAGTTGGTGGTGGCTGAAATAAAAATTGATTTTATTAAATTAAATATTCGTTTGATAATTTTTTTTTGACAAACCGGAGGTGGTGGTGCTTGTGGTGCAGTGTTTGAATTAGATTTTGGTTGCGTATTTCGAACAACTATTTGAGGACTTGGTAAAGTTGGTGCTTGATTTTTGTGTGAAGAAATATCACGAGAATTTTGCTGATAATCGCGTTGAACTGGTGGTGGAGGTGGAGGGGGAGCTAAACGATGTATTGGTTTTTCTCCATTATTTTGCTACAATTTGATTTTATAAATATTTAAATTAACAAAATGATTTGCAATTAATCCAATTTGATACTTACTGGATTTCTTGTTGGAACAGAAGGAGCAGCCGGTTTTTTAGTCTCCTTCCGAACAATCTCTTCAACATTATTAGACTGAATAAAGTCATATATAAAATCTCTAGTTCTTCTATCTTTTAACTGATTCTCCGAAACTCCAGCTTTTTGAAGAAATGGTTTTAATGCTTCATCTTCTCCAGATAAATCAAATCCACTTTTTGCGTTCCAGCCAACATGAGTTACATGCTTGAAGTTAGACGGAAGACCAATGTCTTCTTTCGTAATTTTTTTTACTTCGCGTTTCTTTGTTTTGGCATTGCCTAAAGATGATGGTTGTTGGGTATATGGTGGTTGAAACTGGTTTGGAGTTATTTTAGCTTTAAAAAATGGTTTTTATTATTTATAAAATTTTAAAACCAAAAAACAAAAGTATTTACTTATACTACTTGGATTTCTTAAAATTACAGGTTCTTCGGATAATACGGTAGTAGTTATGGGTGGGGGTCTTGCAGGCGGCTCTTTTCTTATGCGATTTCTTCGTTCTAAAATTGAAATTGAAAAGTTTTCATCGTTGTTATCTACCAGAATTAACTGATAAGATTTTATTATAAATATCTTATCAACTTTTTTTCAAAACTTTATTCGTAATGAAAATTACTCATTTAATTATTTTAATATAACTTTCAATGTTTTAATACATCAACTTTTTGTCAGAAATGGTTGTCAGATCGTCATTTCCTCATTTGTACATAAATACTATTTGTAACACATGAATCATATGCAATAATAAACTTTGATCACATAATGTGGTGAAGCTAGGGTTTGGGGAACCTGTTAACAGAAAACAGAAAAACAGCTGTTTTTCTACAAAAATCTGTTAACAGAAAACAGGTCTCAAAAACAGATCTGTTTTCTGTTTTTCATTTTTACATATAATTTACAGAAAAAAAATTTTCTTAATTTTTTGAAGAACTTAATATAGTTTTCTAGAATTCCACATTGAAATGTATTTACTATTTTAAATTTTTTGGATGTTTAACAGGTTTGAAATCATTATCAATTTTATGATTAATCATTACTAATTTTGCAATCGAAATTTTAAATTTGTTGAACATTTTGTAGCATTTACTAAAGTTCAAAAATATAATCAACAATTTTGCAAGATATATTTTTATTAAGAAAGATTTTTTTGAATATTTCAAATAAAATATTGGAGTTTATGGAACTTTTACAATACAACAATGCAATGTTCCTTAAAGGTATAAATTTTTTTGGATTTTTTTTTTGCATTTTTATATTTCATTATATTTTATAGAGTTAACGAAAAATTAAAAAATAATAATGCTCTATAATGTATGCTTAACTGTTATAACCACCAAAAAGTTTCATTATCTTAGAGAAACACTTAGGATAACTCAGTTTATTTTGAATTCTAGAAAAACAGGAAAACAGCTGTTTTTAAAAATCAAAAACCGAAAACAGACTGTTTTCCACAAACCCTAGGTGAAGCATTTGAAAAACAGTTGATAAAAAAATATTTTGATAATTCAAAATCTTCTTTTAAACATTAGTCGACTCCCATTTAATTACTTACTAAATTTGCATCGTGATACAAATTCGTAAATACATATGCATTTACAGTAAAGCACTTAAGGAATTTTTTTTACAATTCCAGCAAAGAAAATATCAAATCAAAAATATCTTTTTCCATTTATATCTCATTAATATTATTATCACGTGGGATAGAAGGAGAAACTAAAATATTAACTCTACGTTACCTTCTCTTCTTCTGTTGCGACTTTGAACAGTGTTTATTGCTGTGCTTAAAAATGTTTCAGCTTCGTCATCAAATGCGAAATTTAAAGCAACCATTCCATCCTAGACATTGAATTTATTTTTCATTAGTTTATGTCATTGAAATTTTTGTACAAAATTATTTACCTGTCCCTCAAATGTTAATAGGAATGGTTTAACTTTATTTATTTCAATCGTGTCATACATTTCTTGTTCCCAAACTAATTCGTGTTTTACAAGACAGAACAGTCTTGCAAAATATGAACGGTTACTATTGTCCTTAACGAAACACAAAGCTCCTGTATATCGCTTCATCCATCGTGTGTGAGGAGCTTCTGTTTGATAAATTTGAGCTACTGTTGTGCATTGACTTTGACAACGTCTCCCAAGTAATCGAAAAACAAGTTCATTTTCTTCGCCCGAAAGGTACGTGCTGGCTTTTGATAATTTAACAGAATTTCTATTCTCAGCAGACATAATTTAAACTCTTCTTCGGATGTTATTAAAGGTAGAAGCAACTAGTTATACATGAAATAAATCTTCATTAAAATTTTGATTTTTTTCATATAGGAATATAATACAATACTTTTTGCAGGACTTTAAAGTGGTAGCTTAAAACACAACAGTTAGACTTAAGAGACTTAAAGAATTTTAAATCTCTAATTAAAAAAAAAGGTTAAAGGAAATCGTTTAACGTTTTTGATTTAACACTAAGTGAATCACTTTAGAAACTTTCAAATTTTGTCTTTTATATTTTTTTCCTAAGAAATTTGTTTAAATCGCGTTTATCTGTACTATTTCCTGAACTTTAAATTACAAATGCTTCGTCTTTATTGTGTTTTATTTAATTCAACTCTTTTTAAAATATGCTTATCAGGATTTTATCTTCATACTTTTTTATCTTTTAAAATTGATTAAAAAAGTCATCAATAATTCTGCTTTATGACGTTTTTTTTATGGAATTTACATTTCTTAACATTCAAACCAACAGCTTAATCCGAAATTAAATATATATGTATTAATAAAACTACACAGTTTAATATGGGTTTAATTTTTTTTATTTATACTAGGTACTAGTTCACTTGATGATCTCAATTTTTTTCTGAAATAATTCAGCGTCGATAGGAAAAGAAAAAAAAAGAAAATTGTTTTTTCTGGAATTATCTTGATACAATTTTTAAAAGTTATAATACCGTTAAAACTATTTTAAAAAAATTTTTAAATAAAAAAAAAACATTATGTAGCTGTCATTCATTTATGTAGGTCCATACCAGGGGTGGTTTCTTGATAAACGCTAGAGAGTCTAAAATTTATCATAAAAACAACATACATACATGTTGTTACACAAATCAGCAAAAAACAAGGAATCCAACAAGATCAAAAAAAATATCTACAGATCATTTACAACTGATCTACAGAAGAAAAGTTTTTTCAAGGTTTTTTTTATAGTCACGCTAAACATATAGTACGAAACAAACTAAGGTGGGGTCCTCTTTAAAGAACATTTTTAACGTAGAACAGGATATTGAAAACTTAAAAATTTAGAAATAATCTACCGTGTAGGTTAAATAATGACGGTTTAAACATCACAGAATTAAATTTGAACATTTTTTTTATTCTCTATACTTATCCATTTTAAAAATTTGGACCAATATTTTTGTTTGCATCCTTATCCTTGAATATGAAAAGAATTTAACTAAAAACGAAGGGCTACAATAAAAAAAAATTTCTATTCATTCTATTTGTGAAAACTTTTGATGATAGGTACACTTAATATTTCACATGAAATGATGTTTTTGATGTTTTTCTCTACATGTTTTATATATAATTTATATCAATAAGCAAGGTTAACTATGAATACTCAATTTATCATCTCTCTTTCTCCGCAAATCATCTGATTAGGGAGAATGGAATTGATTGCATTGTAACTTTTTATATTAGTTTTTTTATCTCAGTTTTGATTGAGAAGTGTACAGTGGCACAGAAGTCGTTTAAAGAACATGATTAATCTTAAGTATTTTTTGCTACTTGCATATTCCGGCTTTCTTTTTGTTAATGGTAATAGAACAAATCGAAACCTAAATCTTCAACAACTTCAGAATAGATGTTTATCTTATCAATCTACGGCTGTCAAATCTTCAACATGTACAACACAAAAGAAATTAAAAATGCAAATCACTAAAGGAGTTGAAAATGGTGTTTTCTATTGCTTGACATACGAAAAGACCACAGGAAATGTATATGGATTTGATAGTTTAACAATTGAACTGCATCCAGATTATGATTTACAATATGTAAGTGAATAGATAGTAAAAAAATAGAAATTTAATAGATTTTATGAATGAACTGTTTTTAAAATATTATTGTAAATTTGATGATTTTTTTTTCTATAAAATTTATCAAAATTTAAAACTAGTAATGAAGCCGATCACGCTTCATAGGAATATTCACACCATCGTATAGAATTCCCTATGCATAGTTCAGTAAAGATTAAAAGATCTTCTTTAAATAAAATTTAAGACTTAACGTAAACACTTTGTTGCAAAAAACACGTCTTCAGCAAAAATCAGAAATCTTGGACTAATATTTTGGTTCTAGTTCCTACATAAAATATAAATATATTACAAAAGTCCTCGTTCTTTCTCGTGTGACTTCAGTGAATCTGACGCAACGATCAGTCAATGCTTAGAAATTTAAGACGAGTCAAGCAAATTACTGCAAAAGTTTGTCTTTGTCAAAGTTAAAACCCATTCCTTGCTGTATTTTGAACATTTTAAACATTAGATACAGAACATATTTGTCATGACTTTTGTTAACATGATTTGGAAATTAGCATGTTATTATCTTTGATTTCAAAAGCAATCTTTACCTCTCATTTCTGGGTTTACGGTTCTTGACTGTTTATAAAAAGATTTGTCTTGATAGTTTTATTATTATTTATTGCCATTTTTAAGACAAAGTTTGATAAACAAAAACATTGGAATTCTTGCAAAAAAAATAAAGATTTTGCATCTAAAAAAACAATTGAAATATTAAGGATTAAGTTTAAAGATTATTAAGGTCATAACATGCATCCAAATTATCCAGAAAGCAGTGTTGAAATCTGCCTATACTTCTGCAAAAAGACACTTTCTATATGAAGAATTTATCTTCTGCAGATTTCTGTCTGCATGTAGATTAAAAAAAGTATCTACATGAAGAATCTATCTTCCAAAGAATTCTGTCTTCCACAGATTTCTGTCTGCATGTAGATCAAAAAAAGTGTCTACATGCAGATTCTGTCTTCCAAAGAATTCTGTCTTCCACAGGGTTCTGTCTGCATGTAGATTAAAAAAAGTGTCTACATGCAGATTCTGTCTTCCAAAGATTTCTGTCTTCCACAGGGTTTGTCTGCATGCAGATTATTATATTTTGATATTTAATAAATATTTTTAAATGAAAAACACATAGAAAGATTTAGGATACAAAATAAAACAACGAAATTAATTTTGCAAATTAATGTGGATTCTTCTTCACTTCCTCTGACAAGTCTCTTTTATAAAAAAATGATCAAACATTTACGGGCTTTTAAAATTAATAAAAAGGGTTTTTTCATTTAGATTTTGTCGTTGTCAGAAAAATGCTTAATAATAGCATAAATACACTGAGTTACGCTTTTTATTAAGTATTCGATACGCCAATAAAACGATAGAACTGAGAAAACGTAGAAGGCTACGATGTCTGGTTGCTTCTATCTCAATCAATAAGCTACCTTTTTGAAATAAGTTTCAAAAATGCACTAAAAATGGATATTTTCAGTAACATACACACAATTTATTTTATTTATTATTAATAAATTAAAAATACTAAAATCCATACTCCAATGAACTTCATTGTATCCGATTCAAAAAGTGCCGCTTTTGCTATTAGCAAAACCCTACATTACATTCTATTCTATTCTAATTTTAAAAGCCCGTAAATGTTTGATCATTTTTTTATAAAAGAGACTTGTCAGAGGAAGTGAAGAAGAATCCACATTAATTTGCAAAATTAATTTCGTTGTTTTATTTTGTATCCTAAATCTTTCTATGTGTTTTTCATTTAAAAATATTTATTAAATATCAAAATATAATAATCTGCATGCAGACAAACCCTGTGGAAGACAGAAATCTTTGGAAGACAGAATCTGCATGTAGACACTTTTTTTAATCTACATGCAGACAAACCCTGTGGAAGACAGAATTCTTTGGAAGACAGAATTCTTTGGAAGACAGAATCTGCATGTAGACACTTTTTTTGATCTACATGCAGACAGAAATCTGTGGAAGACAGAATTCTTTGGAAGATAGATTCTTCATGTAGATACTTTTTTTGATCTACATGCAGACAGAAATCTGTAGAAGATAAATTCTTCATAAAGATAAAATCTTTTAAAGATTCTGTAGTCTTTGTCTATGGAAGACGTCTGTCATTTCAACACTGCCAGAAAGAGTAAAATTTCTTCATAGGCTGGACTGAACTTTTCTGATAATTTTATGAGAATTCTGTTATTTATTGGAATTGTAAATATGGAAAAAGTTTTGCTAATATTCTGTTAATAAAATTGCGATTCGCAATTATTTTTCAGAACTCTTTAAAATAAAATTTAATGAAAGTAACATTCAACGAGATAGACTGAAGTCCGAAAAGACATAGTCAAAAATGTTGAAATATAGTAATTCACTTAAATAGGAATGGTCCACCCAAAAGTAAAATAATCGGAACTATGTTAAAAAAATTCAGTGGTCAAATTTTAAACTCAGCAGATCAACGAAATTTTGATTTGGGGCTGGCTGTTCACATAATACCTTTTTTTCATACAAATTTTGTAACAGAGGGGGGTAAATTAAGCTTCAAGCCCTAAATAACAGATACCAATCAGGAACAAAACCCACGTCATATGATTCGATGCATAGGTAATTTAAATTATGCTCAAACATCATTTTCAATTATAACTCCTTGTATAACTCAAAAAAAAAATAAATAAAATAAAGACAATCCAGGTTTATAAGTTCTGACACAAACTGTAGTTGGAATTAAAATCCTCACATGTAGATCATAATTCCGGAAATCTATAAATATTTATAAATAAACTCACAGTGTAATTAATTAATCTCATTTCTGTGGGTGTCAAACCCAAATCCTAAAACGTACACCAAATGATTGAAAAATTTCTGAGCTAATCAATCCAGAAATAAACCAATGATGCAGAAATATTGTATAGGCCCAGACTCTTCAAATGAATGGTTAACTTTCCTATAAAAGATATTCCATGAAAATTTTTTACAATTTTATGACCCAAATAACCAAATACCCAAATCTTGACCCAAATAGTAAAAATTCTAAGGAATGAAAATCAATTGTTTGATCAAAGAAACTAGAGAATCCTAGACTTCCTTTAAAAGCCAAAACGGAATAAGTGGATTGGAGTTTAGCCAGAAATTTCTCCAAAAAAAAAAGGATTTTGACCCCAAATACCCGCGTTGACTACACCTCTGAATGTCTTTAACAAAGTGCTGAAGATTAGCGCTTAAGAATGATGTTCATGATGTAATTATCTTTAATTATTAATTCAATTAGTGGTGATGATCAGCACCTGTATTGGAAAAAAGTGAAACCTAGCATAGGCAATTTGAAATTGCATTACAATTGCCTTGGTCAAGGGCAAGTCTATGATAGAATGCACCTTTTTATCAACACTGGTTTTATAAGCTTTGATAATAATAAAATAGACGTTTAGATAATTAACAGTAGTATTCCGATATTATCAGAACTGTTCTGATATTACGATGCTAAATATTCTGATGATTTTATCTGTACAGTTCACAATGATTCAGAATCGGAAAAAATGTTCAAAAATTCAAAAATAACATATTAATTAAACTTCATCTTTTAAATGCCAGATTAAAGATCTTAACTTAAGGCATATCCTATGAAAATATCTCGTCCCAATTTGATGTCTAACTCCAGAAATCATTAATTTAATCTCACCCAAAATTTGTTTACAATTTGTGTATGAAAAAATATATGCTTTTTTCTACTTTAAGTTGTTATTTGGATGTCTTGAAAGCAGTTGCTAGCTA